TAGCTTCATAGTTCATATCATGGATTAAATAGATGTAGCGCATGTGTTAATCCTTGATTACAGACATTGATAATCAAGGCTAGACATTGACTAGTGTCATACTTTAATTATATAATACGTGGCTTGGTCATACCACATGTTCTGGATTATAACAGCTATAATAATCAACTATTGATACAGCGCGTTACATTTTATATGGATACATTGGCTGGATCATATGGACATCAATATAAATCGCAAAGTACACAATTGCTTGGTACGTTACTCTTTGTGTTGTACATACACAATGCACACATATATATGCATCTGTATGAGTGCACACGTCTACATACATGAATGTCTAGGAGTGCACATGAGCAGTCCCACGGTGAGTTAAAAGGAATATTGCGTTACTCTTTGTGTTGTACATACACAATGCACACATATATATGCATCTGTATGAGTGCACACGTCTACATACATGAATGTCTAGGAGTGCACATGAGCAGTCCCACGGTGAGTTAAAAGGAATATTGCATTATTACTGGTCATAATTAGTTGTCTTCCTTCGGATGACCGGCTCACATTATGATGTCTGTGATGTGTGCCTGAATTTAGTTCGAAAGAATGTGTGGATCAACATAAACATGAATCAGGAAGTATGCACTTTTGATGTGTGGATCATAATTGGTAGGTGAACATCGATGTAGGGAACAGAGTATACCTAGTTCAAACTTCTCATGACTAATTAATGATACTCATTATCTAATTTAACTGTCAGGTAAACTCATGAAACCAGGTACAAAAGGTGAATAGCATCACATACACAATAATAAAATTGTACATATGATACATGATGGTTCAACTGAAAAAGAGAAGTTTTATTACTAAACTTATGCAATTTGATATTATAGGACATGTTTGCAGCTGGGACAGACACAACATATACAGTAATTGAATGGGTGATGGCAGAGCTCATCAAGAATCCAGATGTAATGAAGAGAGTACAAGAAGAGGTTCGAGGAATTACTTTATGTAGTGGAGAGATCAAAGAGGAAAGCATTGATAGAATGAAGTACTTGAAAGCAGTAATTAAAGAAACTCTAAGGCTGCACCCTCCTGTTCCTTTGTTAGTTCCTCGAGAAACAATGGAAGAAGTTGAACTACAAGGTTATCATATTCCGGCTGGAACTAGAGTCATTGTCAATGCTTGGGCAATTGGAAGGGATCCAAGATCATGGGATAAGCCTGAAGAATTTTATCCTGAAAGATTTGTCAATTGCGACATTGATTTTAAAGGACAAGACTTTATGCTTATACCCTTTGGTGCTGGAAGAAGAGGTTGTCCTGGAATTGAATTTGCTATGGCTACAATTGAAATCACTCTTGCTCATCTCTTGGGTCACTTTGATTGGGAATTGGCTGATGAAATGCAAGGAGAAGTTCTAGATATGAGTGAGTCACCTGGACTTACTGCTCCCAAGAGATCCAGTCTTGTTCTTGTTGCTAAATTGCCAATCACTTAGCTTAATACAAGTAACTTTAATGTCTTAAATTATCATCCTTCACTCTTGTAGTCCTATTGAAATATGTAATAAGAAGTGGATATATATCTTCCACAAACAGTTGTACTCTTGGATAGATGTTTGTATGGAGTGGCGCATATTTTACATGATGTGATATCCCAAAAACATACTTTCTCAAGTTCTAGTCAGGATGGTTGCGTCCAACTTGGTTACAAGCATTCCATTTCTTTCTTTTCAATAGAAGTTTGTTCTTTGCCTCTCTCTTGTCATGGAAATATGCAAAGGTCAATGAAATGCCAATTACTAGTTTCTTCCTAATGTGTTTCCATTGTACTTACTACTATGTCGTAGTTATAAAGTCACCTTACTTGGAGGTAGAAATACTCAAATTTATTTCTTCACTAGGTCTTCTTTTCTAGTTGTAATGCACAATGCCAGATTAGAGACCACATGCGGAAGCTCAAAGGCGATCATCCATTCTACGGTGCTACCATCCAAATCCACCCACTAACCATATCTTGATAAGATCACTAAAATTCTCGGATCGTCATATTAATGACCACCATTAAACTCGGCGGCGGAGCCACATATAAGTCTGAGGGTGCTAACTTTTGGAATCTACACTACTAATAAGTATTAGATTGGATAAAATAATCATAAACCCCTCAAAAGTTTGAAATATGTGTGAACACCGGTGGCAAGTGCAAGTGGGGGCCACCCAAGTGTGCGTGAGGAGTTTTTTGGTCAATGCCCAGCGGGTAAATGCCAAGGCCCACTTTTGTTTGCTTTTTAACCGCATCAATCTCTTTTTTGGTCAATGCCCAGCGGGTAAATGCCAAGGCCCACTTTTGTTTGCTTTTTAACCGCATCAATCTCCTATAAATACCTATGATACCTAGGGTTTTGGGTACGGGGAAAAGTCTGCGGAAACAAAAGCAGAGAGAGAGAGATTGAGAAAGTTTTCGGCTGCAGAGGTGAAACAGCGGCAAACAGCGGCTTGGAGAAAAAGTCTGCAGGGAGTTCTTGGCGGCTGTTTTTTTTGAGAGAAAAGCTGAGAGTTTTTTTTTGAGGAGAGAAAAAGAGGAATTTACAAAAGAGAGGTCAATTTTTTTTGGGTAAAAATTAGATCTTTTTCTTTGAGACGAGCTTGTGGATTGTACAAGTCGTCGGTGTTCTTCTCATAGTGGAATCTCCCCTCACCCCTCCCGTGGACGTAGGCAAGTTTGCCGAACCACGTAAATCTCATGTATTTATTGTTTTCTGGTTGTTGGCTATTACTTGTAGGTTCCCTCAATATTCGGTCTTAGAGCTGATGAGAGGAAGAAAGTATATTTTACTTTGATGAAATATATCACTTTCAATTCTTGTTTCCTTTGAGAAATAAGAATTTTATTATCTATTCTCGTTTCCTTTGAGAAATAAGAATATAGAGGTTGACTTGTGCTTTTGTGATAACAAAAGCCAGGGCTTTCTCTCAGGTGATATCGCTTCCGCGGCGGTGGGCGTGACTCTGCGTCCAACAATTGGTATCAGAGCTGTTATTCAGATTGGGAGTGGTGTAGCTTCTGATTTGAGGTGGTGCTGTTGCGTCAAAAATTGACTTGTCATGGAATTCATTTATCTTCGGTCGATTACAATAAAATTCAAAAGAGATAGCCTTTTTATAAGACTTCTTTTACAAACAAAAGGAAAATTACAACTCTGAGAACAAACGCAGGATCGTTATTTGGATCGCTGCTTGCGTGGGATCTTTGCGGCCGGAGCCTTTGATCGTGGACCAAAATCACAGATTCTGATTGAATCGTGAGGGGTTTAATGATTCTTCCTCGTTTATCGAAGTGAAATTTGAAACGATATTATCAAAGTAAGGTAGTCGTTCTTCTTGAAATCAAGTCAAAGCTCGAATCTCAAGGGATTACCGAAGCTCAAGAATTGCTCTGTCTGCTCTGAAGTGCTCAAATATCAGCCCCTCTCAAAAAATGGCCTTCGGGGGTATTTAGACCCCTACAGGAACATTAGCGCGAAACAAGCTCGCGAGAACACGCATTTTATGTCTCGGCTGCGAGACAGTGTTTGCTGTCTCGGCCCGCGAGATAGAAAATGCTGTCTCGGAAATAGAATATTCCTGGCAGTTTTCGCTGTAACTGCCTTTCCACGTTTCAAACTCCGTTATTTTGGCAGTTATCAACGTGATTCTCGCCCACGACGTTTCCCACGTTCTTGAACAGTTGGTGGCCACGTGTCGGTGGTTGCAAAACAGTTTCTTGAACCACTGATAACTGTCTCGCGTGCGAGACAGTAAATTCTGTCTCGCACGGTGAGACAGTAAAGACTATCTCGCACGGCGAGACAGTCAAGTCTGTCTCGCGTGCGAGACAGTAAAGACTGTCTCGCGTGCGAGACAGTCTATACTTGTGTTCTTTTTGACATTTTGGATGACTTCCTTTTGAGCTGTGTTTGGATATCTCTCAGCATTTTTTAACGCCTACAGATACCCCCTCCAAAGTATTCCAGACTCAATCTTTTATAGAGGAGTTCTGGGATGTTTTGGATAAGATAGGTCTTACTTATGATCCTTTCAATGCTTGGTTGGGTAGATCGTATAGAAGAACCTGTAGATAACTTCAACACTTGATCTCTTTGTCTCTCAGTCTATTCAGTGCTTTGTAGAATAGCTAAGGTCCTTTCGGCATGGCGTTCATCGCTTGACCGTCGTCGAGATCTTGAATTGAAGCTGGAATTTGTACTTGTGAATTCAGCTTTTGTCATCAAATTGATACCGCATTGTTAATCACTGTATCAGTCTTCATAGGAACACAGTTTATACTCATGTATTTTTTTTTTTTGAGTTCTCGGGAAATAGTTTAACCTCGTATACCCGTTGGTAGGTAGCCAGGTTATTCTTAAGAATATTTTGAGTGATATTCTTCAGAAACTTCCTGTTGATGGTAGGGAAACAGTTTAGACTCGTGTACCTATTGGAGTATTCTGGTCTCTTTCTTGTTGGTAGAGGTGAACCCGATGATGAAGAAGAAGAATTTTATATTCTATCTCCTGGTCTCTTGTTTGTTGGTAGAGATGAACCCGATGATGGAGAGGAAGAATTTTATATTCTATCTCCTGGTCTCTTGTTTGTTGGTAGAGATGAACCCGAAATCGGAGAGGAAAAATTTTATATTCTATATCCTGGTCTCTTGTTTGTTGGTAGAGATAAACCCAAAATCGGAGAGGAAGAATTTTATATTCTATCTCCTGTGTAAAGGAAACTCAAAATGGGATCTCCACTTAGAGGATCTGGATTGGTTTGAATAATCCTAACTGTCATAAGGTTTAATTATTCAATTCAAAAGTGGACCTTTCGTTCACAATGTGAATCGAAAGGAGATTGTGGTTGTGGTCCTAACTGTAGTAAGGTTTGACCAAGTGGGAGTTTGAGACGATCCTAACTGTTTTAAAGGTTTGATCATCCAATTTGTGGACCTCTCGTTCATGGGATGAATCGAGAGGGGATTTTAGCTTTGGTCCTAACTGTTTAAAGGTTTGACCAAAAGGGAATTTGAGACGATCCTAACTGTTTAAAGGTTTGATCGTTCAATTTGTGGACCTCTCGTTCATGGAACGAATCGAGAGGGGATTTTGGCTTTGGTCCTAACTGTTTAAAGGTTTGACCAAGATGGGAATTTGAGACGATCCTAACTGTTTAAAGGTTTGATCGTTCAATTTGTGGACCTCTCGTTCATGGAACGAATCGAGAGGGGATTTTGGCTTTGGTCCTAACTGTTTAAAGGTTTGACCAAGATGGGAATTTGAGACGATCCTAACTGTTTAAAGGTTTGATCGTTCAATTTGTGGACCTCTCGTTCATGGAACGAATCGAGAGGGGATTTTGGCTTTGGTCCTAACTGTTTAAAGGTTTGACCAAGATGGGAATTTGAGACGATCCTAACTGTTTAAAGGTTTGATCGTTCAATTTGTGGACCTCTCGTTCATGGAACGAATCGAGAGGGGATTTTGGCTTTGGTCCTAACTGTTTAAAGGTTTGACCAAGATGGGAATTTGAGACGATCCTAACTGTTTAAAGGTTTGATCGTTCAATTTGTGGACCTCTCGTTCATGGAACGAATCGAGAGGGGATTTTGGCTTTGGTCCTAACTGTTTAAAGGTTTGACCAAAGGAGGGTTTGAGAGGGAAGATTGATCCAACGAAGTGATCGCATCTCATCTCAGCAAAAGAATATTCGGAAATCACCGTCGGGATGTAGTGTTTAACACTTTGTTTGTAATGATCGGGTTATTCCTAAGAAAATTACATATAGCATTCTTTCGGGAACTTCCGTTACATGAACCATCCACCCCCAGCTTTTCTTACGAAACTGAGTTTATTATTATGTTTAGCTGTATGATCGGGTTATCCTTAAAAGTACCATGCATGGCATTCTCTAGGAACTTCCCGTGAAAGAAATGAAATAGTTTAGACTCATATACATGTTGGAGTATCGAGGAGCAGTTTATACTCGTATACTCTTCGGAGTTGGGGGGAAACAGTTTATACTCGTGTATCCAATGGAGTAAATGGTCGTCTTTATTTGGCTTGTTTCGCCATTATGATGCCGGAGTCAATTAATGCTTGGATCTTGTTTTTGAGTCCAAAGCAAATATTGGTGAGATGAAGAACCCTTCTGTGGTATGCACAGTAGTTTGGATCTGTAATCATCTTAGCACCCTCCTGATCTTTAATAGGCGGTAGCTCGATTTTGTCATTGGCGAGGAGGTATTCCAATATGGCTGGAGCTTCATCATCTTCGAAAGAATACTCCTTTTGGAACCTCGGATCGAGAGTTGCGTCCACAGAAATTGCGGATGTCGTCGGTTGACTTCTCTCAACTTTCTTCCTTTTAAGAAAGTATTCAGCTTGTTCGCTACGTAATTTTAACTCTTTCCAAGTTTTGGATGGTACGACCCCCAGGGCTTCCAGGACATCGATGGAAAGATTATTGTGGCATGTTTGCAGGATAAACTCCTCTGTAATAGGATCTCTGCAATTCATTGCTTTGTTACGGAAGCGTTTGACAAAATTGTCGACTGATTCTCCGTTTTTTTGCTTTTCATCTAAAAGGGTTCCGATTGACACTTCGGTGTCATCATCGAAG